TGATCCAATCTATGAGCTGGATGTTTATCCCTGTACACCAACGCTAGAAGCAAAAAACAAGATGGTGGCAGAGTATGGCTCCTCAGCTGGAGCTCATCTGCACCGACCACTCTTTTTGTTTTTCTCTCTTGTTTTTTTTTTCTCTCTCTATACCTTTTACTTACTTCTTGTCCTGAGCTCAGACGGCACTGGTAGTGGTGAGATCCCAGTGTGGACCTTGAGCAGTTCCAGTGCGGACCTTGAGTAAGCTCTTACTTACTTTTCCAGGGTGAGCACAGGACCTGGCATCAGAATCGACGGCTGTTACGTCGGTGAGGTAGGCCCAGTGGTGAAAGATGGTGCCTGAGGATCGGCAACTTTGTCGGTTGGATCTGTGCTGGTGGCAGTGAAGTGGTGGCGGAAGGGCATCACAGTGACATTGAGGTGGGCCCAGTGGCAAGAGATGTGACTCTGGACTCTGGAGTCTGGAGAAGGCGGCGAGGCAGTGGCTGAGGAGTATTGGCTCGGCGGCAAAAGATGGCACCTGAGGATTGGCGATTTGATTGGTTGGGTCCAGTGTAGATGGTGGCAAAGCAGTAGAGGAGGAATGGTAGCACAGCCATTGTTAATGCTGAAAAGCTGGCTCAAGACCGATGAACTCTCTTTAAGCTATGTATTTTTTTTCCACTTATTCTTAAATGACTCAAAATGGTGCTGAATTGTGGTGACAGATGAAAGCTTTTCACTGTATTTTGTTGTATTCTTACTGTAAAATACACATGACAATAAAAAAAAATTCATTCAACTAATGTTCTAGCAGCACCATTACAATGAAAAGTGCAGCTTTCAAGTGGAGAACTGAATTGGAAATTGGTCAGCAGTGTGCCATCGTGATTTAGGGAGGCTGGAGTCTCTCTGATGCCGACTTGCGATAGGGTTAGGGTTAAGGTTAGGGTTAGGGGATGGCATGCAGATGGCCACTGACTGGAGCATGCCCTGAGATGTTGGAGACTGCTGTCCGAAAAGGAGACCTGGAGGAACCAGCTGGGGACTGTAACTGTTTCAAACCAGCGTGGGGAGAATAGGAAGGTGCATAACAATTAGACATGATTAAGTATTAAAATAAATCATAGAATCTCAGATGCTAGAGATCGCAAACAAATGAAATCAGAAATTGCTGGAGAAACTGCTCAGCAGGTCTAGCAGCACCTGCGGAGAGAGAACAGAGCTAATGTTTCAAGTCTCCTTTAACTGAGTTCTGAAGACGGGTCACTGGACTTGAAAAATTAGCTCTGTTTTCTCTCCACAGATGAATCAAAGAATCAGGCAACGAGGCCCTTTAACCCAACAAGTCTGTACCACCAAAAATATTTACTACCTACATGAGTCCCACTTTACCGCACTTGGCCCATAGCCTTGAATGTTATGATACTTCAAGTACCTTTTTTAAAGGTTTTCAGGTTTCCCACCTCAATTGACCTCCCAGGAAGTGCATTGCAGACCCCACTACCCTCTGGGTGAAAATGTTTTTCTTCAAACACTCTCTAAACCTCTTTCCTTTCACTTTAAAATTATGACCTCATGATATTGACCCTTCGACTAAGATACTGTGTGATTTTTCTCCACCACTTTCCATTTTTGTTCATTTTGTGAGAAGGTACCAATGGCACACAATGAGATGCAAAAAGGCCTCTTGACACTCACAAGTGAGTTTCTTGCCTTGTTCTTCAAAACTTTATTGCGGAACCTGACATTTTTTCTGGATATGAGAATTTAATTTTTCCAATCTTTCCATTGCCCAGTCATTCAGAAGATGGAACTCTGGCCTTTGTTTCCTGACCCAAGGAGGGATATACAAGGGTTACAATAAATGTTTGCCAGATTGATTTCTAGGGTGAGTAGTTGTCTTAAAAACAGCAGAGGAAGTGTAGGCTGGACCTATACACTCTAGATTTTAGAAGACTGAGAGGCGATCTCACCGAAATATAAAACATTCTGTGAAGGTCTGATGTGGTAGATGCTGAGAGGCTAGAAAATGTAGACTTCTGGATCATAATCTCGGGATAAGTGTCAGAATTTGAGTGAGAGAGAAATTTCTTCCCCTGGACTTCAATGAATGTTTGGATTTTGCTACTTTTAGAGGCTTGGGATCTCACTCAATTTACATTCAAAACTAAGCTTATTAGGATTTTGGACAGTAAGGAAATCAAGGAATAAAATTGGAGTTGGCAGAGAAGGTTAGTTGTGATGTTATCAAATGATGGGAGGTCATATAATTACCTCTTCCTCATATTTTGTGTTCTTAGGTGATTTATTTTGATAAACTTTGTATTGTGTTGATTGTAAATTACCTGGGCCTTTGTCATTGGTTTTATTCAGAAAAATTTGGAATTCGGTATGTTTCAATTGAATCTGTTAAGTCATCAAGTGGAAGGATTGAATCTTAGTTTGTACAGACCTGGTAAAAACTCTTCTGTTAAGACTACTAACATCAATTTGCAATTGTAACTCAAAGCTGTGCAGATTTTGCAATTGTAGGGCACTCCCATCCCGTGAGAATTAAATAATAAATCCAATAAAAGTACCATTGTCTGTGTTGCTATTGTAAGCCAGTACTTGAAAAGGCTTCATTTAGCAGCATAAATTGTTGTGACATCTCTTTGTTATAGGACCGATTTTGACTGGTGATTTGAATTAGCCATTATGTATAACATAATGTTTCATATTGTGTTGTATTTCTGTGTGTTTAAAAAGGACTATAATGTCGTTTTGCTAATAGGTTAAATGTAAGCTTTTAAGGCGTTTAACTGTTGGGTTTCACACAAGATGTATTTGTAAAAAATTTTATTTAACTCTATCTGATCTTCAAGTCCATTGATCAAATGTATTTGCTAATGAATTATTTTATAATTAATGCATCTGTGCAGTTCATGAGTATTTATTAACATAAATCAAAATATGATACTCTGGAAATCGGTAAGAAAGTGAAAAAAGTGTTTTAGTTTGGATTATTCCACTATCAAAGTTATTTCATTTATTTTGGATGAGCTTTTGATGGATATAAATCACAGTTATGTGCAAATGTTTTATCTGTCCACAGTTGAGAGGGATTGCGGTAGGTTTGTGGAAAGAAAGGTTGGCCAGTTCCACATCGTGTCCCCCAGTGGCACATTGCACATCATGTATTTAAGTCTTTAACATATTGTAACTAAAATTGTTTGAAAGTACACAACTTGAACATTAGCTGAGAAAAAAGACTTGCTTTAAGCATTTTGCCTTGTACCCATCAGGTCAATTAGCAAGAAGTACCAAATAAAAAGAAAGCATGGTTAATATTGTACATAGGAAATCGGTTGGTTAGCAAGTGCACTCTGATTGCTAGAGGTGTTGTCACGGAAAATACAAAGGTAACGATTGGCAATTAACTGCCAAACACTTCTTACATTTTAAACAAGGCTGGTTGACTCTGATAATCTTGAGAAATGAACCCGAGAGTAATTGGCACATATTCTGTTGAGATAAAACAGGTGCAGTGCATGTACATAGTCTATAGTTGTGAGGCTGGAAGAGCACAGCAGGTCAAACAGCATCCAAAATGACCAGGTAAGTCAACATTTCAGGTCGAAACCCTTCACCAGGAGTGGGACTCTGCGGTATGCGTACATGTCCTTTCTGTCAAAGGACTAGGCCCTTTTGATCAATATATGTAATTTCCAGTACACACACATGCATCATTCTCTGGTCAATGCCTCGCCCTGAGAAATGGATTAATTGCAGTCAACCTGCCTAGTTTAAAATGTAAACAATGCTAAGCAATTAACTGTCAGTCACCTTTAACTGCTACATTCCCCGTGGCAATTCCTGTACCAATTGGAGTCCCCTTGAATCAGAACTCTTCTTTATACAATATTAAAATTATATACTCCTTTTAGCATTTATTACAAACTGTCCTGATGAGTGCAAGACAATATGCTTTGACATGAACCGTAGGAGGTTGAGAGGTGACTTGATAGAAGTTGATAAAATAATGAGAGGTATAGGTAGAGTTAATGGTAGTTGTCTTTTCCCATTGCATGGCAGATTTCAAGACTGGGGGCACATTTAATAAGGTGAGAGGAGAGAGATTTAAAAAGTGAAAAACAAATTTTTTACACAGAGGGTGATTTGCATGTGGAATGAACTTCCTGAGGCAGTGGTGGATGTGGGTACAATTACATTGTTTAAAAGATATTTGGATTGTTACATGAATAAGAAAGGTTTGGAGGGATATGGGCCAAGAGCAGGCAGATGGGACTAGTTTAGTTTGGGATTATGTTCAGTATGGACTAGTTGGACCAAAGGGTCTGTTTCCATGCTGTATGACTCTATGATGTCTTTTTTCATTGTTTCTCAATGTTAATTATTTTAACGGGATGGGAGGAAGTATCTTCAATAACTTAGATCTTCATGTAATATCTTAACCTTTCAAGTGGATGGCATGGTTAATACACAGCAGCACAGTGCATTGTGACTTTTAAGCACAGTCTCTTCAAGTGTAGTAAAGAACAGGCTTTTCCTCTTTTCCTCATTTTGGCTTGTTGAGCTACCAAGTGTAGGCTAGGCAGTTTATTCACTGGGGTTTGAGAGGTGTAATAGAGTGGGAAAGGAGGACAAGTACACTTAGCGTCAGGAAGCGAACCCTTTGTCCAACTCCTCTGTAAGACCAAGTTTCTCAAACTACACTTGTTCCATTTTCCTGCCTTTGGCCCGTATCCCTCTAAACCTTTCCTATTCATGTACCTGTCCAAATATCTTTCAAATGTTTTAACTGTACATGCATCTACCGTTTCCTACTTGTGCAGCCTTTTCTACTCACCCATTTCAAAGCAGTGATTGAGGGATGGGGTGATTTTTGCAACAAAAATAAATCTTTCCAGTTTTTTTTTATTGGCTCAGTTACAAATGTTTTAACAAGAAGAGCTTGATTTCTAAAATAAGCAGAACAGTCCAATATTTAATTGTATTGTGTTCGTATCTTCCAGGATATTCAATTATACAGCATTGTGAACTCTATGGCTTCTACCTGGGAAAAGATTAGAGACTTTTATGACTGGGCAGTGGAAAATGGAGGTAAGAAAAACAGCATTCCAGTAGGTCCTCCAGGCCTAATTTATTACTGGATTAAACAGGTGTAGAATACGGTTTGTATGTCAAAATAGGAGGAGAAAACTGATACCTATTTCACAATTTGTTTCCATTTTCTTTGACATCAGTAATTGTTCTAGTCTTTAATTTGTTGGAGCATGGATCACTTTATCAGTGGGAATAGTTGGAGAGAGTGGACCATTGACATTCTACAGAAAAAGAATATGTATTGAACAGGAAAATATACAATGATGACAGAATTAGTTTTAATTCCTCTTGCAAACACACGACAGGTCGCCTTCCTTCCTGCTGTACTGTCTCACTGGATTTGTCAGTCTTTTATTTGGCTTAAACACACCTTGTACATTTCTCGTTATTACACAATAAGAGAATTGTTCAAAGCTTTCTCTTCTGGTTAGTATTAGACCTATACATTTCTGAAGGCTTTCTGTGCCTTTTGACGTTCCTGGCTTCTTCGTCAGTTCCTAGATTTGTGGTTTTTTGGGTGTATGTGGACAGAGGATTGTGTACTGGCCTGTTTCATGTTTAAGGTGCTGAGCACTTAATATAATTCCAATGACTTTTTAGGTAGTAGGAAATGTCATGACCATTTCTTAACTTACATTGGCTGTAAAGTTTGCCTGTAATTCAGATCCATTTTAAAGATGGTAATTTCTATATGTGGGGAAAAGTGATGCATAAGATTGTGTATATTTGTCAGTTGACTTATTTGTTTTAATTGTCTCTTTTCAAAATTTTCAGACAAGAGGACTGACCCCTGGTTCCTGGTTTACTCACCCATTCCCATTATTGTGACCTTCATAGTCTACCTTCTAATCTGCACATATGGACCAAAGTACATGAGAAGTCGAGAACCATTCAATCTGAAATATGTACTACTTGTTTACAATTTCTCCTTAGTTGCTATCTCAGCGTACATTTTTTGGGAGGTACGTATGGTTTCTTCTAATTTTTGTAATTGAGAGTAATCCTCTTATGCCACAGGTACTATTTGAGATGTGTGCTGGTTTCCTTCTAAAAACAAATTGCTATAGGGATAAAGCAGAGGGCGGATCCACTGCACTTCATCTTTGAGAATCCTTTTAGATAAAGGAAGAGGTTAAAAGCTGTCTCTGACTTTGCAAAATGAGCTTCCACAACAAAGACTTGCTATAATAACAGATGTTGCCAAGAGCAGCTTGCCCAAAACAAATAATTACACTCATGTATAATAGGTATTTTTTGTATTTACTCTTTCACGGGATTTGGAGATTGCTGGCAAAAGTGATGTTTGTTGCATCTCCCTCATTGCCCTTGAGAAGGTGGTGGTGAGCTGCTTTCTTGAACTGCTACAATCTGTCTGGTGTAGATAATTCTGTAGTTTTGTCAGGGAATGAGTTCCAGGATTTTGATCCAGCAACAGTGAAGGAGTGGGGATATAGTTCTAAATGTTAAGCATTACATGTTCAGCTTTTCTACTTTTAAGATCTACTTCCCTGAAACCATATGCTTTGCTCCCCCACTGACTATTTCCTGCCACAGTCTATGATCTACGCTCATGAGCCCCCGGGTTTCTCTGTCTCTGAATACTTCTGAAATTGTGCCATAAAATCTGTATTGCCTCTTTCTAACTGTTAGGCCAAAATGCATCACTATACACCACTTGTGTACCCAATTTGCAGGCTTATGTCCAAACCAAATCTAACACAGCCAATTACCACCCCATTAGTTACCCTCAAATCCATAGACACGGTGCCAGCGATGATGGAATCTTGAAACATGACCACCAATGCATCCACTATTTCTAGGGCCACTTCCTGGAGTCACCTTTACTGCAACACAAATGCTTGTCTGATCATCTGACTGTGGAATCCTCTATGACTGTTGCACTTCCACACAGCTTTCTTCCCTGCTGTATAGCGGAATGACTATGGTAGCACAGACTTGGCTATGGTTGAACTATGAACAACCATGACCCTCAGCAAAATGAAAATCAATGAGCAGGCAAGCTTTTTTTATTTTTGACACTGATGATTTAGTGAATGCTTTCTTATGAGGCAAAACTATTGATCAACAACAGTGTTCATTGAGAGAATTCATTGCTATCCGCATCATGATGGGAAGATGAGTGGTTGCCATGGAGGACTCATCATTTGAAGCTAGTGTGGTTGGTTATTTCTAAACAAACCAGAGTAGTCTCTTCACATGGACTTTGGAACTTCTACTTGGTGCTAATTGCTTGATAGATGTCATTGAGATATTTGTACCTAACACTGAGCAAGACGTAAGTTATTTTAGTTAATAATTTCAGCTCTTGACATATCAAGAGTTGAGATTTTTGGATGGGACAAAGAACAAATAGCTATGAGTATCATTTCACTGCATCATTATTAAAATGTCTGAAGTAAACTGAGACTTTTTTTTGGCAGCAAAGAGAAAGTGTGGCAACCATTTGATGTGATACCACTTGATTTTAAACTGTGGTGACATCTGGTTCTGTTTCAGCACAAGTGCTTATTGTGTGGATATTGTGTTTATTTAATATCTAATAATCTAATTTTCCTTTCTAGTTCCTGGTGACTTCAATTCGTGCAAACTACAGCTATCTTTGTGAGCCTGTGGATTACAGCAACAGTGAGCTTGGATTGAGGGTGAGGAACATGGATAGAAAATGGGGCTAAGGATCTATGTAGTGAATTGTATTAGTAAATCTGATGTCCGACATTTAAGTTTGATTCGTAATTATTTGTAGCACGTTCATTTTTTTAAAAAATGGTATTTTAAAGCATAACAATGTATGTTATTTTATTAAAACATTTTTTCAAGTTACAACGTGACCTCTGCACTGTGGCTGAATGTTGATTCAGAATTTGGAAGGAGGCTAACATGTAGGGACCTAAACTCTCAGACACACAATATTTGTTTGCATTTCCCATCCCTTGCAAGTGCAGATGTACTTTGGAGTCCCATTTCCATATTCAGTGACACCCAGATGCTTCATAAATTTATCTGGATCAGATGCTTATGGCTTTGCATGCACATTTCTTCAGTCTCCCTAGAGGCTAATTAAGTTAACAATAGTTGAGGTGACATTTGATTCAAGTCATCAAATACTTTAGTGAGACAAGCTAAAATGTACAAAACAATAGGGTATCAGCAATGTTGATTTGTTCAAAGGCAACTTATTTGAGTAATTATGAAATGGAGCATATGTAATGCTAGTTCCACTTTGGTGGCATCTCTTACACGATATGTATTTATGAATGGGAAATCATGTTTGACAAACTTACTGGAGTATTTTGAGGATGTACCTAGTAGAATAGATGAAGAAGAACCTGAGGATGTGGTACATTTAGATTTTCAGAAAGTTTTTGATAAGGCCTAACATAAGATGATGTTCCAAATAAAAGCACATTGGATTTGTGGCAATATACTGGCAAAGATTGAGAATTAATAGCAAACAGAAACAAACAACAGGAATAAATGGGCTGATTTGAAGTGAAAGATTGTGACAAGTGGGGTACCACAGAGATCAGTGCTTGGACTCCATGTATCCATACTATATATTAATGATTTGGTGGGAATGTAAGTGCTGAGGAGGGCGTAGAGACTTCAGGCCTATTTCTGACAAATTGAGTGAGTGGGCAAATACATGGCACATGCAGGATAAATATGAAGTAGGAAAAACAGAATGGCAGAGTTTTATTTAAGTGGTGATAGATTGAGGTACAAATGTTTCTGGGGGTCCTTTTACACCGGTCATTAAAAGCAAGCATGCAGGTGCAGCAAGTAGTAATGAAGGCAAATGGTCTTTATTGCAGAAGATTTGAGGACAGGAGCAAGAAAGTCTCACTGTTGCTGGACAGGGCTTTGGTGAGAAAACATCTGAAGTATTGTGTTCAGTTTTGAACTCTTTACCTAGAAAAGATACGCTTGCCATAGAAGGAGTGCACCGAAGAACATAAGAACCAGGAGCAGGAGTAGGCCATCCGGCCCTTCGAGCCTGCTCCGCCATTCAGTAAGATCATGGCTGATCTTTTTGTGGACTCAGATCCACTTACCCGCGTTCTCACCATATCCCTTAATTCCTTTATTGTTCAAAAAAAATCTACCTTATCTTTAAAAACGTTTACTGAAGTAGCGTCAACTACTTCACTGGGCAAGGAATTCCATAGATTAACAAGGTTCACCAGTTTGATTTCTGGGCTGGCAGGTTTGTTCTGTGAGAAGGGGTTAAGTTGATTTAGTCTGTGTTCACTGGAGTTCAGAAGAATGAATGGGCTGTCTCACATATAACATTCTGACAGTGATGGACACATGCAGGAGTAATGTTTTCCTGGCCAACAGTCCAAAACAAACGGTCATACTTTCAGGATAGGAGGCCATTTTGGACAGAGACAAGAAATTTCTTCACTAGGAGGGTGATGAGCAGTTTTCTTTTACAGACATCTGTGGAGGTGAAGTCACTGAATACAATGAAGAAAGATCCAGATTTCTAGAAGCTAAAAGTATTGACGGGAATGGGGACAGTGTGAGAATATGGTGTTCAGTTGGAAGATTAACCATGACCATGTGGGTAGCTCAGCACCAATGCCTCACAGCGTTAGGGGCGTGGGTTCAATTTCAGCCTCAGGTGACTGTCTATGTGGAGTTTCCATGTTCTCCCTATGCCTGATTGGGGCTCCGCTGGGTGCTCTGGTGTTGTCTCACGGTCCAAAGATGTGCACCTTAGGTGGATTGGCCACATCAAATTCCCATTGTGTCCAGGGATGTGCAGGCTAGATGGATTAGACATGGGAAATGCAGCGTTGCAAGGATAGGCTGGGTTTTGGGGGGGGGGGGTTTGCTCAGGGAGGAATGCCCTTTGGAGGGTCAGTATGGATTCGATGAGTCGAAGGGCCTGCTTACACACTGTAGGGATTATATAATCTTATGTTAAATGGCAGAGTGAACTTGATGGGTAAAGTGGCCTATTTCTCCTATATTCTATGTTTCTAAGTTCAAATGTGCAATTCAAGAGGATCAGTTACCTCAGTTGGCTGTTTGGCTGGTTTGCAACGTATAGTGGTTCCAGTGGCATGGCTTCAGTTCCTGCACTGGCTGAGATGACCATGAAGGATTGTCCTTCGCAACCTTTTCCCCTGCCTGAGTCATGGTGACCCTCATGTTAAACCACCAGCAGTAGTCTCTCTCACTCAAGAGAGAGCAGCCGCATGGCCTGGTAGGAATATGGTGGCTTTTCATAGTTCATCTGAACAAGCATGTAATATAATGGTCATCTAAGTACAAATCCAAAAATAGTGTACATAGAGAAGCAGGAAGGAAGTGAGGTGTTGCATTCTTAATATAGTTTTACATGAAAATAAAAGCTGTTAAACGTGATTCTTTTTATTTTTAGTATGCAATGGAACCTGTAGCTCCCTCCCTGGCTGCCTTTTGTGTTTCCATACCTCATCCTTTTTGGTTTTGGAAAACCGAGGTGCTATCTCAGATTTATTCTCAATCCAATAATAGTGTTGTGGAAATGAGTTAAGGTGAGCATTTTTTTGCATGTTGATGGAGAGAGGAGCAACTCTACTGTACATCACCCCAAGCCATGCTCATGTGATTCATTAATTGTGGTTAGCTTCAGAGTAGCATTAGCAGAAGCCCATTCATTTACAGATGATTCAGAAAGAAGGCATGAAACAGAAAATGTAAAGTCTTCTAAAACGTGAGTCTGTCCCTCAAGTTAAAGAATCTAATGATATTTTAAAAATCTACAGCAGGTATAAAACTACTTAACATTGTTGAGCTTCACATATCCTTGAAGTTGATTGGCTTCAGTTTTTCTACTTCAAGTTGAATATATTCAGACCATGACAATTTAAACATTCTTCCCAGCTTTTTTATGGCAAGGTGAGATTGCGTGGGTGGCTTTATGTTGACCTATATATGCATGGCATAGCACGTGACTGGGATTTACCCTGCTGCTGCCTACTCCCTCCCACTTAAGCAGTTTTCAGTGGTGGTGTTGAAAGAGCACCCTCTTGTGATTACTGATTTTGCTTTAGTGCCATTTAGTGAAAAATTAGACCATTTTCTAAGGGGCTGCCATGTTGAAATGCTAAACAACTTGAGTTTAAGTTTTTTTGCTAAATATATTTCTGCACTTGTTGGAAAGTTATTTTTATTACAAGGTAGATGACTCCTTCATTGGTTCAGTTTGCTTATTTACTTTTGCGCCCCTCTGAAAAGGAGAGGATTTAATCTCAATGGAGTTGTAGACCCAGAGTTGAAACCTGTTTAAGACCGTAAGACATAAGAGCAGAAATTAGGCCATTCGGCTCATTGGGTCTGCTCCACCATTCAATCATGGCTGATAAGTTCCTCAACCCCATTCTCCTGCTTTCTCCCCGTAACCCTTGATCCCCTTGATAATCAAGAACCTATCTATCTCCGTCTCGAATGTACTCAATGACCTGGCCTCCACAGCCTTCTGTGTCAGTGAATTCCATAGATTCACCACTGTCTGGCTGAAGTTCCTCCATATCTCCTTTCTAAAAGGTCTTCCCTTTACTCTAAGGCTGTGCCCTCAGGTCCTAGTCTCTCCTAACAATGGAAGCATCTTCCCAACACCCACTCTGTCCAGGCCATTCAGTATTCTGTAAGTTTCAATTAGATCCCCCCTCATCCTTCTAAACTCCAATGAGTATAGCCCCAAGAGTCCTCAAACGTTCCTCATATGTTAAGCTTTCCATTCCTGGGACCATTCTCGTGAACCTCCTCTGAACCCGCTCTAAGGCCAATGCATCCTTCCTGAGATATGGGGCCCAAAACTGCATGCAATACTCCAAATGTGGCCTGACCAGCACCTTATAAAGCGTCAGTAGCACATCCCTGCTTTTATATCCAAGTCCTCGCAAAATAAATGCCAACATTGCATTTGCCTTCCTGACTACTGACTCAACCTGCAAGTTTACCTTGAGCGAATCCTGGACTAGAACTCCCAAGTCTCTTTGCACTTCAGACTTCTGAATTTTCTCCCCATTTAGAAAATAGTCTATGCTTTTGTTCTTCCTACCAAAGTGCATGACCTCACACTTCCCCACGTTGTACTCCATCTGCCACTTCTTTGCCCACTCTCCTAACTTATCCAAGTGCTTTTGCAACCTCCCCACCTCCTCAATACTACCTGTCCTTCCACCTATCTTTGTATCATCTGCAAACTTAGCCAGAATGCCCACAGTTCCTTTATCTAGATCATTAATGAACAAAGTGAAGAGTTGTGGTCCTAGCACCAACCCTTGCGGAACACCAGTAGTCACCGGCTGCCATCCCGAGAAAGACTTCTTTATCCCTACTCTCTACTTTCTGCCAGACAGCCAATCTTCTATCCATGCTAGCACCTTGCCTCTAACACAGTGGGTCCTTATCTTACTCGGCCGCCTCCTGTGTGGCACCTTGTCAAAGGCCTTCTTGAATTCCAGGTAGATAGCATCCAATGGCTCTCCTTGGTCTACCCTGCTCATTACTTCCTCGAAGAATTCTAGCAGATTTGTCAGGCATGACCTCCCCTTGACAAAACCATGCTGACTTTGCCTTATTTTACTATACATTTCCAAATATTTAGAAATTTCATCTTTACAATGGACTTCAAAATCTCAATCTTATAGAAAATGGCTTGTGTGGGAAAATGGATGGATTCACACTTGTGTAGTGACAGTGCTTCTTGGAGGTGCGATTAGGCAGTTTACAGGAGAGAGTAAAAGTGATTTAATTCAACTTTTGTGACACCTCTCATCTGAATACTTGGAGCTAACACTTATTCAAAATAGATAACTTCCAAATATTAAACCAAAACGCTTTAAAAGTTAAAGAAAGCAAATATTCCAGCAGCGCTGTTCCTTTAATAGAAACATTTGCCCAATCTACATGAACAACAGAGATTTCCAACTTAACTGTGAAAATCCACTGATATATCTCCCAGCTCCCCATCCCGGTTTTGTCTCATTGTTTATTTATGCATAATGACTTGAAATGTTTAGATCTATATCCTGTGTAATCAGTATAAATGTTGTGATTGTTTGCAGAAGTGTAAAACTGATGTATTAAGCATTGATTCTTTTATTCAAGTTGCATCTTTGACAAAAAGTTTCGATAGTGCGAGACTCACTGTTCAATGCATTTGGGTCTGAAGAATGAGTATAATTGAGTAATGAGGCCTGGTGTTTGAACATGGGAAGATTATTCTAAGCTAATGCTTGTTCCAGTACCAGTATCAGCATGATAGAGCCCTAATGTATAATTGCCAGTTCAATAATTTAGTGTGACCTGTAAGTACTATTTTAGCTGATTTTTGCACTTCTTCCAACTGAATACTCACCAATTGCTGGATGTCACACTTCATTGCTGTGTTGTGGTGACATATATATTTAAGCATTTGATGTTTCTATCATGATTTAATTATGGAATTACTAATAATGGGCACAACTTACACAAATTTCCTATAATTAATGCATAATGTACAGTGTGTTATATCAGAAAATGTGGAACAACATATGAAGATGCAGAAAACAAATGTTGATTAAAATGGTCTTGTTTGAACTTCAGAATATCAAGTGTGTATATGGATCATGAGGTCATTATCAACTCTGTAGGTAATCAAGTCATTCATTGGTACAATGCAATGAGGGCTTGCATTTCCAATAAGTGGAAATCAAAGCAAAATATTTGTGTTGTTTATATATTTCTATATCATTTTAAAGATCATCTCCAGTCGTAATTTATGGGTAACTGTTGTGCTGCCAATGTTGTGTTATAAAATCTGACTAATTAATACAAACAAATCAATAATCAAAGCAAGTAAATGCCCAGGGATATGTAGTATTTATTGCAGATTTTAAGTAAGGTTTGTCAGTACAGGAATTGACTGGCCTCTCGGGACATACTAGAAGATTGGAAATTGGCAGACATTCCCATTTTCAAAAAGACAACAAAGCAGATATAGGCAATAACAGATGGATCAATTTTGCTTAAATACCTTGTAAAATAATGAAATCAATTATCAGAAATAAATTTGAGAATTATCTGTACAATTAACTAGTTATCTGTCAACGTAAATTCAGATTGGGAAGACCCTGCTGAACCAGTTTTCTTTTTGACCCTATTTAGGAAGTGAAAATGCAGGTTAATTGTGAACAGCTCCGTTATATGTACCTGGATTTACAAAGTAATGGAGGTTATAGATAAACCATTGGCATAGATAAGTAACTAGCCAAAGATGTGTCTTTGTTATAGCAGAATCATTGGATTGTTACAGTGCAGAAGGGGACCATTTAACCCATTGTGCCTACAGTTATATTTGGGCAGGGGTTTGGTGCTAGAAATTTGAGTGGGACACCCGTGAAAATGGCATTGGAGCTACCAGTGTTTCCAAATTATAACAGTGATTTGGATTTTAAAAATTTACTGCAGTTTGGCTACTTTTTTTTTCATTCATTTTGTGCGATGTGGGCGTCACTGGCTGGCCAGCATTTCTTGCCCATCCCTAGTTGCCCTTGAGAAGGTGGTAGTGAGCTGCCGTTTTGAACCACTGCAGTCCTCCTGCTGTGAGTTGACCCACAATGCTGTTAGGGAGGGAATTCCAGGATTTTGACCCAGTGACAGTGAAGGTACGGCGATATATTTCCAAGTCAGGATGGTGAGTGACTTGGAGGGGGACTTGGAGGTGATGGTGTTCCCATATATCTGCTGCCCTTGTCCTTCTAGATGGGAGTGATTGTGGGTTTGGAAGGTGCTGTCTGTGGATCTTTGAATTTCCAAGTGATACCAAACTCGTAGAATCATACAATACAGAAGAGGCCCTTTGGCCCATTAAGTCTGCACCGATAAAAGCTATTCTAAATCTACACCACTTTCCAGCACTTGGCCCATAGCCTTGAAAGTTATGATATTTCAAGTGCTCATCCAAGTACTTTGGATTCCCAACTCAACTACCCTCCCAGACAGTGTATTTCAAGTTCCCATCTCCCTCGAAGACAAAAATCTTTTTCTCCAATCTCCTCTAAACCTCCTTTTCACTGTAAAATGTGTCCCCGTGTTATTGACCCTTTACCAAGGGGACAGCTGCTTTCTATCCCCCCTGTGCATGCTCCTCAATGTTATACACCTCATTTCAGGTCTCTTCTCAGATTGCTTTCTTTACAGCAGGGTTTATTCAGCCTCTCTTCATAACTAAACTTCTCTGTCCCTGCTGAATCTCCTCCACACCCACTCCAGTGCAGTCACACCCTTCCTATAGTGCAGTGACCAGAACTGCGCGAAGTACAGCAGCTGTGGCCTAACCAAAGTTTTTGTGCAGCTCCAACATAATCTTGCTGCTCTAATATTTATGTCAAATTTTTTTGATAAAGGTAAGTGTCGTTGAGCTACCCTGTTAAACTGTTCTGCCAATTTCAAGGATATTCGAGCAGCACATCAAGATCCCTCTGAGCTTCCTCGTGTCCTGCCATTCATTGAGCACTCTCTTGTCTTGTCACTGCTTCCAAAGTGTATCACCTCACACATCAGGGTTAAATTCCATCTGTTATTGATCTGATGAATAGTTGAAGTTCAAAAATAGACCTAGCAGAACAGTGGCAGGGTTAAATTTAATCAGGATGCAAGTGAGCGTTCTTTGAAAGTTTGAAGTAAAAAGAAGCATCGGAAATAAATAGACATCAGAAAATCTTTGAACAGCAGTAAAATCAGTAAATTTCAAAGGTGCAAAATGCCTACTCAAAGTCCAACATTTCTTTCTAGATGGCAGTGGACTTACTTTGCATGTCTACCATTTTATGTCATTATTTTAGTCTTATCTTTGCAACTTTTTCTTCATCATCCTTGTCTGTTTACAGATGGCAAATGTCTGCTGGTGGTTTTTCTTCTCTAAAGTCATTGAACTGATGGATACGGTAAGTGACCAACTTTTAATAAGGAAAATGCTATACTTTCAGTTGTTTCAGTGCTTTTCTGAGATTTTTCCTTTAAAGAGGTTTTTGAATTAGAAACCAACATTTACAATTCAATTACTAATTGACCAAGTATGTTGTTGGAACTTCACTTGTTTTTAATTTGCAGTGATTGGTGAATGCACCACTGGCACAATAGTACTAACCCATGCTGACAATAAAACCACATTTGCCAAGGTACTTGCCATAAATGAATAATTGAGTAATAATGGATTGAGTGTAATTCATGAGGACGGTGTCACGTTACTTCCAGGAATGAAATCTATATCTCACTGATCCTGGCAAGGTAGTACTATGGAGAGTGCATTATTTTAGCTGACACAACTAACCAGTACATTTATGACTCATGCCTTGATTCAATATGGTTGATTCTCACTTGAAAGTCAAAATTGGTTTCAAGCTCTATTCTAGGACTAGTGCCACTTCAATAGACTAATGATTTGCCTGGAGACGTGAGTCAATGCCCCAAGTGCTTTTTGAACTGGATATTAAAGGATGCCATGTGATTATTCAACGAAGTACAAACAGTTTTGATGACTTGACCAGCATTTGACTGGTAACATATTCCACCAAAAATAAATGAACAAGTCATTCAATTCATGGCTTCTTGTGAAGATATTTCTGTGTAAAATGGCTGCCCTATTTGCATATAGAATAGTTGCTTCAGTTCAATGACTTTTCCTTGTGTTCACTGCTGTCAGATTTTTCTGAACGAAATAGTAAAGTGCTGTATAACTGCAATTTTCTTACACCTTTCTTTGACCTTCAAATACTAGATGGCAGTTTAAGCTTCTGTTCTAAACCTGGTTCATTCATATTTTTGAAATATCTTCAACTTTTGTTGAAGTAGAATGGAAACTTGTCAATTTCATGATCAAACCTGAAATGAGTATCACTTGACAGCTGTAGTTGTGAATTGGATATTTGTTTATTTGATTGGCTTGATTAGCAGGGTGAGTATCCTGGCTATGAATACTAGTTCAAAGCCAAAAAGAAATTAATTAGCACCTGCTAAAATTCAGGACTTGACTTATGGACAGTGAGAATGAGCTGCAAACCTGTTACTTTTAGCACATTAGTATTACATTGCATCCGTTTGTCTGTGTAACCATGAAAATGAAGACAACTGTATAGATACTTACTAATATTGTTTTCTGTATGGTAAAGATTCTGTGAAATAAAAAAAAATTGAATGACATCAGTTTTGCTATAGAATGTTCTAAGCATGTTTTCAATTGCCAAGCTGCTAAATTATTTTGACATTCATCTCTGTGGAGTACCATGCAAGAAGATACTGAATGTAATCCTATTAGAAATTTAATCTCCCAGTGTGAAATATGATTTTCATGGCTACAAAATGAAATTTGAATAAAATCAATACTAATATCTCCTTGGAGGTTTTAACTTGTAAAAATGCTTTATATAGACTAACATTATTAATGGCATTGGCCTGGTGATAGACGAGTCTGTCGTATCAGAGATAATTAGGGAGCATTCTAAATAATATAACGTCAAATCTAATGAACTTTATATCACTGAATTTAACATCACAGTGAAAGAAGTACAGTTGATTCCAATTTGCTCTTTGCATCAATCTAGAATTCTATTTTAAATTTGCGGAAAAACAACAATATAAAAGTTGACTGTTTTGTTGTTTAGTCTCTCATTGTGACCATTCAATGTTTTTATTCATTGCTCAGAAGTGACAAGGGACTAGACAGAATTGATTTAGTATTTTGGCTCCCTTGAACCCACATTATGGATCCTATAAATTTCCTCCTCTTATTTTCATCATTTCTACAGCCCTTTTGATTCCTCTTTTTTTTTGTTTCCCTTCGGACAGATATTTTTCATTCTGAGGAAAAAGTACAATCAGATCACATTTCTTCATGTTTATCACCATGGTACAATGATTTTCAACTGGTGGGCTGGAGTGAAGTATGTACCAGGGGGCCAGTGTAAGTATTTAAATTGTGGCCAACAGGACACGTACAGCATTTTTGGTAAAGTTTTGACATGAAGTGAACAGTCATTGACTTTTCAAAGCAAATCTTACAAGAATAATTTAACATTAAAACATTAAAATTATTTGCAAGTGAAATCTCTCTTCTATTGCATAATTTTAAGTTGGGATGCATTATTAGCAAAATTGTTGGCAAATTTTCTACTGTTTCATAATTAACGTATTCAGCTCTCCTAATGCTACAGTGCTCTTGTGTAGACCAGGAACAAATTGAGCAAAATATCTGGAATGATAGAAGGATACCATTTGGTGACTTTTTATCTGTACTGGCCCTTTGAAAGCACCATCCAATTTAATCCCATGATCTCTGCCCATAACCTGCCAGAGGAAGCAGTCTCTCTCTACTGGCACTATCAAAGCTTCTCAATTTTGAACACTTCTGTTTAAGTTTGTTTTCTATGAGGGACAGCCTTAGCTTCTCCAAATTAACCATGTATTTAAACTTGCTCATTTCTGAGAAACATGCTTTGCCCCTCTCCATAGGGTTTGATTTCTTAGCGCTTATTCACTTTGTGTTTACTTGGAGGAGGCCAGCCTTTTGCTTTTCAGTGATGACGAAGAGACCGGTAGCTTATCACAGTGGGGAGTGCTGAACAGTCAAGAGGGTGGATATGTCACTGTAAAGCACACGACCAGGGCAGTGTCACCTACAGCAACAACCAACTGCTTGCATGACAAACACACAGCATGTGCTTGAAGTAAGTAGGCATGTGTGAAATTCAAAGGGAACTGGTCCTTAGTGTGTTGAAGGGGATCAATCAGGAGGTGCTGTTCAGATCAGGGACGTACTCAATTCTAGTCCGGGTTGTTGGCCACAGTCAATTAAGTGCTTGGTGCTGTCAGAGTCTGGTGATCTGTGTCCTTGAAATCGAGGGATTGAGCCCATTGTAGGTTCCATAGGTGAAGTTCAGGGAATACAGGTCAGTCATCGGCCTGTGGAGAGATCAGACTAGGGGACTTTGCAGGCAAAAAATGTGGCAAAGAGACAAAGAGAGGGATTGAGTTTGCTGGAAGAAGATAGGAGAGGTGATGGATGGTGAGTCAGTAGCAACCAGAGAGGGTGGAACAAGTTGGTTGTTTGAAGATAAAGTGGGTGAGGGCTGTTGAGTTGTTGTGATAGATGGAATAGTGAGAGTTGCCGTCCATGAGCCTTGATGACGTGATTATGCAGTGGCAGAGTTTGAGTGGTGGCGGCTGTAGGAATGTGAGGTAGCAGAGAGAAGATGATGGCACTTAGTCTTGCGATACACAATAACCTTTTTCCTGTGCTGCTGGGTGTTCCTTTTAATTTGGGCCACTGCACTGCTCCCAGATGCTAACTGGGTCCAGGCTGGCTGGATCTGCCTTTCTCTCCTTTTCACCCCAGCCCTCAAGGTCAATGACACCAGGTTATAGTCCAGCAGGTTTATTTGGGATCACAAGCTTTCGGAATGCTGCTTCATCAGGTGAAGTCACCCGGCAGGTGATAATGGTGAAGCTCCACTGTGTGAGGGGCAGTTCCTGGCTTGCAGTTCGGAAGTGGTGTACAGCTAGGCTTTAAATAAAGTGCCTGCAGCAGTGAGTGCCTCTGCTGCTGCTGTGTAATTACGTGAGAAGGCTACCGAAGAGCCCAGTAGCACGATTAATGAGTTGAAAACCGTTCAGTTGTGTGTGACAAGTAGTTGTGAACCATGGTGGACTGGGCACAGTGAATCTCACTTGACAAAAACCTTTACCTGAAAATGGGAATATTCAGCCCAAAATTTCACAGAATTGATATAGCACAGAAGGAAGCCATTCAGCCCATAGTGTCTGCACCAGCTTTTTGAATGAGCGTTTTGCTTAATATTATTTCTTCTGCCTTCTCCCTAATTTACTGCTAATTGTACTCGTTTTGTCAGCTGATATGAAACGTTTTGCTTTGTTTTCTAAACTATCTCCTAGTTTCTCATTTCCAAAAGAAAAGAATTTTACAGGACTGGAGAGATCATTAATCGCTGTTGGTTCTTTGCTAGAACTTATTGGCTGATGATACAATGGTGATCCTTTTTCATATGGAATGGAATTGAAGTCCAGCTATTGACAAACTTGATCTCTCATATAGCTGCAAGTAAATTTTCTTTCTTCCCTTCAGCCTTCTTCATCGGCTTGTTGAATTCCTTTGTTCATATTGTGATGTACCTATACTATGGAATTGCTGCAATGGGACCACACATGCAGAAGTATTTGTGGTGGAAGCGTTATCTCACCATGCTTCAGCTGGTAGGTTTGCTGTATGTTTGTACTGTGAGATTTTCTGTGGGGTTTTCATTATACAAGTGAGCCAATGAAAATCTTGGATTTTTCGAAGAAAAACTGATGATATCTGGATACTTTATGCACTGTTGAGCTGCACGGAGAATCCTCAAACCTGAAAAGACTTCCTATCCTTAAACTGTACTTAAGTGACTCAACAAAGCTGTAATTCAATTGAGAAAGTTTTCTGCAGGCCTGCCTTTCACACTTTATTACAGCAAATAGAATTGGCATTAAGAAGATAAGAAATAGAAGCATGAGTAGGCCATTTGAAGCTCAGGTCTGACCCCACCATTCAACAAGATCGTGGTCGATCAGGCCCAGGCATTAGCTTCTTTTGCATGCCATCTCCTCAAAGCTGTCAACTACCTGGTATTTCAAAAAACTACCAAACTCCTCTTTTAAAATACTCTAGCCTCCACAACGCTCCGTGGGATAGGGAATTCCAAAATTGACTGCCCTTAGGGAGAAGAAATTCCTTTGTATCTCAGTTTTAAGTGAGCATCGTCGTCTTCTACAAATATGTCCCCTAGTTTGGGTTTCCCCTAGGAAAGGAACCAACTTCTCAACATCTACCCCGAATCTTGTATCTTTCAATAAGATTGCTCTTTATTCTTCTGAACTGTAATTAATAAAGACCTAACCTGTTTAGCTATTCTTGATAAGTCAACCCCTTTTGTCCTCCAATACCAGTGCATCCATTTTTTAAATACAGGAGTCTAAAACTCTACATAATTCATCAGGTGCAGCCCCACCAGCACCCTGTCCTGTTGTAACAAGACCTTCCTTGTCTTTAAACTCCAACTCCCTAGCATTAAAGGCCATAATTCTGTTTGCCTTCTTAATTATTTGCTGCATCTGTGTGCTAACTTTGTGTTTCATGCGTTTAAAAAAATCCAGATGCTTCTTTGCTGCACTTTCTTGGAGCCTCTTTCCACTTCAGCAATACAGGTAGTTCTGCTATAACGCTTGTTTCATTAACCTGCATTGGCTGTAACGCGACTGATGAATAGTGGACGCTGTTTGGATAACGCAAAGTTTCTGCTGAATGGGTGCAGCAATTTTCCATAGTGGTTTCCCTATAATGCAATTTTCTATAGCACAGAGTCACACAAGAATGCAACTGTCGTGTTATAGGATAACTATCTGTAGTCTGCTTTTTGATTCTTCCTATCAAAGTGCATGATCTCTCACTTTACCACTTTAATCTCTGTCTACCAAGTTTTGCCCATTCACTAAACCTATCTATGTCCCTTTGCAGATTCCTCATGTTCTCGTAACCACATGCTGTCACAACTACATTTTTATCATCAGCAAATCTGGATACATTACAACAAAAGAAAGAATTGAAGATTCAAGAAATAGAGTCAGAGTCATACAGAATGAAAACAGACCCTTTGGTCTAACCGGTCCAAGCCGACCATGTTCACAACTAAACTAGTCCCACCTGCCTGCTCTTGACCCGTATTCCTCCAAGCCTTCCCTATTCATGAACTTATCTAAATGTTTTTTTGAACATTGTAAGTGTACACGCGTCCACCGCTTTTTCTGGCAGTTCATTCCACACACAAACCACTCTGTGTTAAAAGGTTGTCCTCATGCCCTTTTTAAATATTTTTTCCTCTCACCTTAAAAATATGTCCCCTATTCTCGAAATCCTTCACCCTAGGGAAAAAGATGACTGTCATTTACCATATCTACACGCCTCATGATTTTGTAAATCTCTACAAGATTACCCCTTAACCTTCAGTGGAAAAATGTCCCAGCCAATCCAGCCTCTCCTTATAACTCAAACCCTCCATTCCTGGCAAAATCCTGGTAAATAACTTCAGAACCGTCTCCAGCTTAATAATATCCTTCCTATAACAGGGCGACCAGAATGGCACACAGTACTCCAGAAAAGGCCTCACCAATGTCCTGTACAACCTCAACATGACATCTCAACTCCTATACTCAAAGGTCTCAGCAATGAAGTCAAGCATGCTAAACGCCTTCTTAACCACCCTGTTTACCTGTGATGCAAATTTCAAAGAATTATGTACCTGAACCTGAGACAACAAGGTGCAGGGCTGGATGAACACAGCAGGCCAAGCAGCAGCAT